TCTTTTTTTTTCCCCCCCTAAGGCTAATGTTAAGGGAGCAGGATATTCCTCAAACTGCAAGTCGTGGTTGGAAATCCTGTCTGAAGGTGAAGGGCAAGTCAGTGGCAGAGCTGGAGTGAGATGTCAGGAGCCTTTGCTGCTGGTCGGGGATTTTGGGCCCCTTCTTTTTCCCCCCCTTCTCTGCAGACATCCAGGTGAAACTCTGCTGCCGCTTCATGTGTTTGCAAAGCCAAATGCCTCGGTAGGTGGGGGTGCCCGGTTCGTCCCCTCCGCGCTGTGCGTGGCCAATGGGGCGGGCGGGCGACGCAGCGCCTCCCCACTGGGACTTTGGCCTTCCAGGCGCCGGAGGTGAGCAGGGCCACTGCCCCGGGCTTGGTGCTTCGTCGGGCCAGCCCGTGCAGGGACGGTCAGCCTGGGGGCTCCCTTCCGCTGCCGCAGGTGGGTGACCTTGTGCCTGGTGCCAGAGCAGCAAGCCCGGGGAAGCCGTGTGGCTCGGGAAACACGTGTGCTGCATGGGAAGGTGCTGCGCTGCTCCGGCAGGGTTTCTCCCATCCCAGCAAGCTGTGTTTGAGTCACCAAGGGGGAGAGAAAATGCTGGTGGTGCCTGGAGCCCTGTTTCTTGATGTTGGCTTCTCTGGCTGAGGTACTGAATTTGCATCTGCTCTCAAGGCACGTGGAAATTTGTGCACGGGAGTCCCATTTTCCCCTTGTGCGTTTATCTGCAAGTGAATGTGGTAGTTTGAACATCTGTTTTTGGTGACAGTTCCAGCATGTGCCAGCCTCGGGCTCTGTCCGTCAGCGCAGGGCTGCTGGCAAGGAAGTAGCCTGGAAATGAGAGGGGTGACACAGGGCAGAAGACTTGGCTTGTGGCGATGCTGAGCACCGGTATTTCCACCCAAACTATGTCAGTGCCGCAGGTGAGGAGGGTTGCTGACCAAAACCCGCGTTTTGGTCTATGTAGCTGCCCCTAAATGCACAGGAAGAGGGACTCGTGGCATCCATGCATTAGTCCTAGGCTTTTTAGGGCCGGATGGGAGCTCTGGAAGGAGCTGACTCCAGTGACTACCTGCTGTACGAGTGGCTCCTAATTCTTTCCCTGTTTCACTGTACCATTTTGGGTCTCCTGGCTGGCCTTGTTGGCAAAAGGGGAGAGCCAAACAGCTCCCCACCAGGCACAGCCGGTCTGTGTGTGTGAATACCGAAAGCCGTGAGAAATCGTGGATATAGCCTCCTACCGCAGAAGAGAGGATGCTTGCTCTTGCTTCGGTGATACCTGAGATGTCTCAGCCAAGCTGCCCCAGAGAAGTGACTGTTGCTTTCTTCCTTCCCTAGCTAAGGGAAAGCAGAGGGAAATTCCTTCCCAAGTGCTTATGTGTGCAAAGGTACAAAGGGTTGTGGGTGAAGCCAAATGTGTCACCCGTTCAGGTGGAGGGTGGTGTTGCTGTTGAGTGCTGGTGCACAGTGAATGTCCTTGCAGCAATCAGGACAGATGGATCTAAAAATCCTCCAAAATGGTGTCTGTACAACGGTGGGTCTCACGGGGGCTCTCTGCATACCCGGAGCATGTGTCTGATGGAGCAGTAGGGCCTGCACAGCGCCCAGGGGCAAGTGGGGACAGGGACACCTGAGTTTGGACTCCTCCTTTACCCAAACCAGGGCAGTTCTTCAGTGCACAGCGAAGGCATTGGAGATGAGCAAAGATACCCTTAGACTGTTTTTGCCTCACTCCCTGGCCTTGCTTGCTGTGCAAACGGCATGCTTGGTGGGACTGTGCGCGCCTGGTCCATGCCCCAGAAGGGGCTGTAATTCTCTGATAAGTGCTTTTCCTTCAGGTGATAAAGCAAAGAGAAACAAAGGTTAATAGTCCAGCCCGGTGCCCCTAGCTGGTTAGTACCGTGGCCGGTTGGAGGTACGCAAAGGTTGGTCATCCTGAGGAAAACCTCCTTACAGGTGGGGAAGAGACAGCCCGGGTAAGGTAGCTGCATGGGAGTGTGTGGACAAGGAAGGGGAGCAAAATAGGACCGTTTTGCCAGTGGTGGAAGTTGCGAGGACAAGACCCATCCGAAGCTGGATGTGGTACCCACTGAGGTGGCCAGATATGCTGGCTCGCTCCCTGGGCCTTGTTATTTGGGAGCTGGGTGGCTGGGAGAGGGGAGAGCTTGGCTTGAGGAGGCTTTGGAAGGGCTGAGGCAAAGCAAAGTGCCAGTTTTATTTTGGAGCATCCTCCCAAACAGGCCGGGAAAGTCCTTTGACTCGGTAGGGCTGAGCAGAGGGCCAATGGACTGGATGCATCCAGCACAAGATATTAGTAGGGTTACAGGCTCTGGCTCTGACCTGTCTTGCTGGGCATCTCCTCCAGAGCTTGATTCTTGCTGTGAAACCTCGTAGGGAAGAAAGAAAAGGATAATTCATTGTTAGGGTGCGAGTCCCCTCACACGTCATCCTAAAACTAATTTGCTCCATCATTTTAATAAATGTTGAAGGGAGATCCTGGCGTGTGGGTAATGGGGCATTAATCCATGCCTCGCTGTGTTAACAGCGCTCTAGGAAGGAATTAATGCCACATAATTCATTGCCTCTGCAGCTCTTGCTCTCTTAATTACAGCTTGTACGATTTAGGAACCCCCTTCTGCTAGGGCTTCCCAGTCTCTCCTGCTTTAGGGAAGGCCTCCGGTGTTTCTTGACTTTTCTTGCCCCTACCCCATTACCAGTTTCCTCCAGACTCCTCCGTTACTCCTGCCATGGAGGGTCCCCATCCCAGCAGTGCCCTTGTCCGCATGGCCCTAATACAGAGACTTTTGAGATGTGCGAATCTTGAACCTGTTTGGCTGCAGAAGCGTTGCTTGACCGCTCTTGTTTGCATTTTTTGGCTCCAGAGAGCACTGTGTTTGTGGGAGGATGTTCTTCAGTCTCCCCGCCTAATCTCTTTCCTTTCTAGGATAAATGCGTAGTGTTGTTCTGGGGTTGTTTTTTTAAATATCCTACAAAATTATCAGTGTTCTCTTCCCAGCTTGTGCTTTTCGCCCTCTCAGACCATAGGAAAAGAGTAGTTATCTTCCTGCCCTGGGAGGGACTGGGGTCGGGTGAGGATCTTCCCAGCCAGGGCACCTGAGGCTTCATCCGGCACTGGTTTTTGAAGGACTCGAGGAACTTGGTAGTTCCCAGCGAAGTGCTCAGGTGGCATTTGCGGGGGCTTTGGGTTTGTTTTGCACCCGGTCATCTGCTGGAGCTCAGTCTCAACAGAGCTCAAATCGCCTTTCCGCTTCAGCGCGCTAAAATCCCTGAATGCATTGATGTCCCCAGGCTATGAGCGTTCAGGCCTCTGCCCTGCTAGGTGCTGTGTAAACGTTTATCAAGTAGCCGTGTCCTCCATGAAACGGTCGTCCCGCTTCCTTGCCCTTGCTCACCTGCTTGCTGAGTTACCTCTGTTAGAGGAGTTGATATGAGTGGTGGCGTCTAGTGGCCGTGCAGCCTGTTCCCTGGCCAGGTCTGGGTGCGCGGCAGCGAGGCAGTCGATATCTTGGGATGCCGGGGACAGGCCATGAGGACTGCTCTGTGCGGAGTTTTTGTCCAGAGTTGCTGCATCAGTAAACACAAATATCCTATTCAGGGTAGAGATGTTATCAAGTGAGTTTTTGTGGTTCAGGGCTTGTGCATGCCGGGTTTACAGGCTTAAAGCAATAGCTGGTCTCGCTGCTCTGTCTGTATTCGTGTGTGTGTTTTTATATTTGGGTATTAATCTGATAAAATTGATGGAGAAACAAACTACTCTTGTGGACGTGCATCTGAAAACACATGCAGAGAAAGGTTTATGCGATTTTTTTTTTTTTTCCCCTTCCCCCCCACTTAGAAAGTGCAGGCAGGACCCTAGCTGATCCCTAGAGATTTTTAAGGCGTGCTTCCTCAGTTTACTCAAGAGCAGGTAAGAAACTGTCTGTAAGGGGTCACGCAAGGAAAGGGAGGTGTGTAGTATGGTGTAGCTGGGGAGCTTGGGGGTACGTTTTGGAAAGGAGCCCATCCTTAGCAAGGTCAGCACACTGGGCTCTTCCGGCTTTGCCTGAATCTGGGAATCCAAGTGCAAAGGAAGGTTTAGTCCCGCTTAATCCAGGAGCAGAAGCCTGAAAGCCACCTTGCTGAACCGGAAAGCTTCTGCAGTCAGGGGGCAAATTTCAGTCCTGAGGCAAAGGGCAAAGGGATTTCCTCCTCTCCTGGCTCACCACCCAGGTGGCAGCTAGGGAGGGACGCTGCGGAGAGCAGCTGCAGGACTGCTGCCAGCTCTCCTTAAAATAAGTAGTCATTATGAGTCTTCAAGAGAACTGTTTCCTACAGTCTTGTAACTTTGGTAGCGTGCCAGCAGGCACCGAACGCAAGGAACGTTGCAAAGTGCAAAGTCGCATAGATATACTGGGGAGGGCGAGGCGTTATTTAAAAGATCACGTTGGCGTAAGCCTGGGCATGGGCTGTCCATTTGGGTTGGAAATGAGAGGCTGTGGACGGTACTGCTGTGCCCGGTGCCACGCAGAGCTCGTGTGCTGCCGTGCTGCTGCCTGTCCTCGCGTGCAGATGGAGCTTGCCTGCTCCAGGGCTGCTCTTCCCTCCGGAGCAGTGAGACGGCCTCTTTGGGAAGGTCCGTTTCTCTTAAAAGTCAGAGCGAGACTGTGCGACTAACCCGCGTTCCTCTCTGAATCGGGTGCCTGAACACAGCTTCTGGCCAGTCATCCCTGTTGGAGCCAGGAGATATATGTTTTTATACGTGTGTATTTATATATATTTATATTTTTATACATATATATATAGATGTGTGTGTACATATACATACATATATGTACACACACACACACAGCTCCCTCAGGAGCTCAGTCAGCAGATGCTGTCTCAGTCCAAGGAGACCAGGTGCTCTTCTGAGTCACTTTTTCCGCAGCCTACCCAAAAGGATCTGAGCTTCAGGAAAGTGCACGTGGCTAGTTCTCAACTTTGTCTCCTTGGTCTCCCCTTCCCAGGAAGAAACTCTGAACCTTTAAGAAGCAGTGACTGAAGAAGAAGTTAAGGAACAACCGTAAGGAACAAACCCATTTCATAACAAGATCAAGTTTGAATTAAATGGCTGATAAACAGATCAGGTAACTTTTTTTTTTAATTGTTGAATTGTTTGTTTTGCTTTAGATTTTTCTTTTCTAGTCTTTCAAACTCAATCCCTTTTGTGATACAGGAGGCTGGATGAGATGACTTGATCATCTCTTCTGGCTATAAAAGGCTCCAATTCCTTCTTTGCTCCTTTCTCAACTGCTTTTTTTAGTTTTCGCTTCTCTCCTCTTGTTTTACGTCTTCCTCCTGCTGTCACGTCTCTGTTTTCTTCAGCTCTTCCTTCTCACTGCTTGTTTCTTTCCTCCCTTTGCTTTCTCCCCTGCATGACAGAGTTCCTTTTTGCTTCACCCATCAAAGGTCAGGTTGACCTGCTGACTTCAGCTTGCTGACCTCGAGGGAGCAAAGCCAGCTCTTTGACCAGCTGAGGATCTGGTGCTTTTAATTACAAACTCCACATAGATGCATCCTTGTGCCCCTCTCCTAAAGCCATTGATGGCTTGAGTGATTGTAGGAACATGAAGTACCAGCGTGTGGCCGTTGCCAAGTTTAAAATAGTTGGCGACACTTAAGGGCACCGCAGGAATTTAAGAGCCTTGGTCTTGGCACATGTAAAGGCTGGGTTTGAGCTCTCCCTGGGAGTGAACTGGGATGTCCTTTTAGAAAAGACTCTGCCAACACAGCGCCCTTAGCTTCCTAGGAGCTGTGCCAGATCTGCAGTCCTGCATGTGAGTTTAACTTCCTGCTGCTTGTGAAGTTGCTCCAGATAATGACCCTTACGTGCCTTGATATTCCTATTTTTCTGTGTCCCTCTCCTAACACCTACCTTCCCACGTTACCAACTCAGGGCAGGAGGTAAGCAGGTGTCCTAGGTCAGTGGGTGACTGATACCTGGTGACAGAGGGCCAGGATTTAGCAATGCTTGAATGCTACAGGGAAGAGGGCTGCCCCTTCTCAGGGTTTGCCACAACTTGTGTGTGTTTTCTCCCCTCCCACCCCTACCCCACCCCTCTCCCTTCTGGGAGGGAAAGCTGTCCTGAGCCGCACTGATAACAAGATAGCATTGCAGAGTGTTTATGTGCCTAGATTTGCCTGTCATCAGTTACGTGATTTCAGGAGCACTTGGCACTGTTCTGTTATACCACCAAAGCGTGCGCTGAGATTCACCTCCGCGAAGCCCAACAGATGCAGATCCCCGATAGCCGTGGCTGTTTGAAGTCGGAGGGAGCCAGGAGCCTGGTATTTTGAGGCAGAGGAGGTGTCCTCCAAGATCTCCTCTAGACCTTCCAGTGTGCTTTTGGCAGTGTGAACAGGAGCCTGCTGGCTACGGAGGCTGGTTAAAGGGCTGAGGAGGAGCCTAAGGAGAGTTGGGATGTCTTTCTAGCCCTTCTGGCATAAAACTGAGCAAGTGGCTGTATTTGTGTGCTAGCCTGTGTCTGTCATCCCTTAGCAAAATGAGACTGAAACCAAAAAACTAAAATCCACAGCAGTAGTTTGCTGCAAGGTGAGATCAAGAGCATCACATTTCTACAGTTCTGCCTGTGTAACCTCATCTGAGTGCGAGGAGAGCTGTTCCCCAGATACTGCCCCGTTATCTGTCTGTACTAGTCTCTCTGCAGTGCTCGTGGGGGAACCTGAATTGTTGGATTTGGATGCAGTGGGAGCGTTAAGCAAGGATTTCTCATCCACAGATTGAGAGGCTCTCTGCAGCCCATTTTGCCCCAGGTTTTTGGGCTTGCCCAGACACATCAGACTATTCCCCTTTCTTGTTGGGGTCTGCGCTGAAATCAGGGAATCTTTTGCTAGCAGGCAACATGTTTGCTGTGAATCTGTCTTGCTCCCACTTGATGTAAACGCTGTTGGAACAAGTAGAGAGAGGCAAGCGTCTGCCTGCCCCAGGTGTTTTGGGGACACACGGAGAAGCTGTGGCAGTGGTGAGACCGGAAAGGGACCCTGGTGGCATTTGTGACTTGCAGTCTGTGACCTGCCAGTGGTGACTTTGGAGTTGAATTTGGGCGAGCTGGTGAGATCCCATCTTGCATTGTCTGCACAGACACCGTGCGCTGGCTGAACTCCATTTGAAATATCCTTTCCAGGGATGTCTCCCTCTTGACGTAACCTTCACTCGGTCTCTAGCCTCAGCATTCAGTTGGACTGTGGGTTAGATGAGAAGAGAGCTGTGATATGAAGCCTACTATTTGCTGAACTTTTCTCTTGCCCTGAGATAAAATGAGCGTGGGAGTTCTCAAGCACATCTGTTTTCCCTTCTCAGTCTGTGGTGCAGAGATCCCCAAGGCAGCAGAGCCTCGAGTAGGTGAGACCTTGGAGCGTGGCACAGCTCTGAGCTAATACACTAATTCGGGCATGACTTTCTGATGTGCTGCGCTTAATTTGAATCTCTGTCAGCACCATCTCGCTTCTGAATCTGGGCTGAGCTTGGGTCTGCCTGCCCAGCCTTGGCATCGCTTCTCCTAGCCGTGCCAGCCCCGGGGCTGCATGCGCACGCTGTATCAGCGTGGGCCTTGAGGAGGAAGCGGCTCGGGCTGCCTGCGAATGGAGGCTGCAGGGAATTTCCTGGAGTGTCAAGTTCTCTCTTTGCACTTACAGGAAAGTGTTTTTGTTTTTGTTTTTTTTTTCTTTCTATCTCTTCTTTTCTCCCCCCCCCCCCCCTCTTCTCTGCTTCCCCGAGACAGATCTCCGTTTGTAACCCTGAATCTTCACACCCTGCGTTTCCATCAGGCCTGAAGCAGAGGCAGCCCTTTCTGCACGGCCAGTTATCGATCCTCTCTGCTGTCTGCCCTCATCGCAGAGCGCGGGAACGCCTCTGTAGGGACAGCGTTTGCAGGGCCCCAGCCCGCTGCATCGTGGCCAGCCTTGCTTTTTCCAGCGGATGTTCTAGGCTGTGCCCCCATCTCGCCGTCGTGGCAGGGAGCGTGCCGGGTCCCCGACAGCAGGGCTCAGCCTCGCGGGCAATCCTGTGGTCCTGCTGTAGCCCGCTCGCCCAGCTGCGGTCTGGGATGGCCGTCAGCCGTCGGTTTAATATCCGACGTGTCCTGTGTGCAGGGAACCATAGCCTGGGCTTTATTGGAGGGAGCTGACTCAAACAGGCTTCCTTTGTCTCTGTGCGTGGTGGTTTATCGAGCATGTAAATGCTGGACGCTTGGCGCAATTGAATTTGCTGGGAGCTTGCGTTTCGCTGGTCCGGCTTTAGCTCAGTGCCGTTTGCAGATTCCAAGAATTCCCTGTGGGAACAGAAAGGTGGATGGAAAAAGCCCTACGTTTTGGAGCGCGTTCCAGGCTTTGATTTCCCCGATGGGTATGAGCTCACGTCTCCGCGTCTGCGTGCGCTCAGCCTGCCTGCCGTGGCTGCGCAGGCTGCCAGCCCCGTGATTTCGCTGGGGCGTCAGCTCGCATGTGCTGTGCCCTGGGCCGTGGGTCTGGGAGCAGGGCAGGAAGCGGCTCCTCGCCTCCGCTGCCAGCTGAGCGCTTCTGCTCCGCTCCCTCCCACGCAATGCTAGTGGCTGGCATGTTGCGGACCGCCAGTTAGGAGCATATCTGATTGCAGTGCTGAAAAGCGTTGGCCTGCAGCCCTGCTGGCTGGGATGCTATGAGGCCCTAAGTGAAGTCTGTCCACGCAGTAGATAGTCCAGCACTCTTTTCTCCCCTAGAGACTACAGAAACCCTTGGGTCCTGGGGAGCTTTCAGTTCCTGACTCTCTGTCGTTTGGCTCTGATGCTAGACTTCATGAATTTAGGGCTGGAACAAACAGATTTTCTAAACTTGGCCCTGTGCACCTTGTCGCCGAGGGCCCAGCTCTCTTTGTGGACCCTGTTTCTCCTGGGTCAGGTCAGGGTTTTACCAGGACCTCGTCCCTTTCTTCTTCCCAAAACTAATCCCAGCTGTCTCCCACTACTGCTTGCAGGGTTTCTCGCTCCGCAGGTCTCTGGGCACCATGAGAGCAGTGTGGGGTTGGCTCTGCCCCACGGCTGAAAGGGAGCAGAGGCGGAGGCTGCCTGGGGAAGGGCTGGAGGGGTGCTTCTGCCCCCCCTGCCAGTGGCTCTGAGCTTTCGCAGGCATCCCTGAGACGAGGGACAAGACCAAATCCTGACAGCTTGTCGCCTGCCTTTCCCAGGAGGCAGCCGAGGTGTAAAGGAGCCAAGTGCCGGACTCGGGGATCACGCAGAGTGTTTGTGGTAGAGCTGCGGATGAAGCACAGCTCTTCAAGCCCCAGCCTCTTGCCTTGTTCACGCGGTCCCTCTTCCCCTTCACGGCTGGAAGGAGGAAGTGGTTACAGGATACTTTTTCCTGCCTCAATATCAGGGCAGTGGGGAGGCAGGATTTGGCTTCGCTGCCAGCGATGCGTGGCTCAGCTGGCTGGCCCCCGCTCGCCTGAGCAGCGGTGTCTCCTGCCGCTCTGTGCCTCTCCCCTCCTCCTCTGTACGTGCAGCGAGGGCTGAGCTTTGCCCTGCGTGCTGGGGATGGGCAGTGTTGTTGCAGAGCAGTGTGTTAGTTTTTTCATCATAAAAGGGCAGTGTTGTTTCCTCTTCTGCTCACCTAAAGTTATCCAAGTGCTAAGACATCTGATTTTGTATGTCTTGTCCCCTTACAGTTTACCTGCCAAGCTGATCAATGGAGGGATAGCTGGGCTCATCGGGGTCACCTGTGTATTTCCCATTGACTTGGCAAAAACCCGCTTGCAGAACCAGCAGAATGGCCAGCGGATGTACACCAGCATGTGAGTACCGCGTGCACAGGCAGCTTCCCTTGGGGCTCTCGCCGGGGAATCCTTCTGCCTTGTTACCTCGTTCAGGTGAGATTGGCGTTTCTAGGAGCTGGGCTGTCCCTGGGAAAGCCAGGGCTCGAAGCAAGCTGTGCTAAAGCAAATAAAGCAGCTATTCAGACTGCCGAGCCCAGCAGGTGAGACCTCTGTTGAGGGCACGTTTATTCTTCTGTCTCACGCTTGAGAGCAGCATGTTCTCTGCTGTCAGCACTGGTCAAAAGGGCAGGAGGGCTCCAGGCCAAAACGCAAGGAGCCTGACTTGGTTCTCTGCTGTGCCACAGCCAGGTGCAGGAGGGAATTTCTGGCTCTCTTCCATTTCCATGACTGTCATACTGGAGGTAACAATCCTTTCCTTTGCCTTATCAGTTTAGAAAAAGGAAACCATTGCCCATTCCTAGTCTAGAGCACTGCATGCAGGCCTTTTGAAGGAACACAGGTTGGCGCGCACTGTAGTTACCCCATCAGTCCTGTGTCCAAGAAATTATGTGCTGCCAGCTCTGTGAAAAGAAGGCACAAATGTACCCAGCCCACCAGATTCACCTGTGACTTGAGAGATGCGTAGGGCTGCGTGTCTGCTGTGAGAGTAGGTACGGTGCCTAGCATAAGACATTGGGGAGACTGGAGCTCTCAGGTAGCATCACTTAAAGATAATCTCAGGTGGAGGCCAGAGCTCTGGCTAGAGCTAGAACAGAGACATGCCTGGCAATGTGTCTACAGCTGCTGTCGGCCAGTTCTGTGGTGGCTGTGGGTGATGTAATCTCACTGGGAAAAGGGCAAGAAGTTCAGTGTGTCCCTGAATGGTTCTTCCTTTTTGCCTGTAAGGGCTGTGAGTGTTTATTCACCGCTCTTCCCTCAGTGTGTACTTCCACAATACTACAGGGACAGTGGTGTTGTACGTGAGAGGTGCAAAATAATCAGTAGATGTGCAAGAGATGGTTGGAGAGACTCGCTGGGTTCCTATAGAAACACTATCCCCAGGGCTAGATCTGCACAGAAGAGAGCCTTGCAGATAACTCATTTTGTTAGCAAAATACATGGAACTGCCTTTAAAAGGTAGAAATGTGCCTGCATGCATGCACGCACAGAAAGATAGCTCTTTGCCTTCTGCATTCACCTATGAAGCAAGGAAGCGGACACCGTGAAGAGGAATGCTTCTTTAATGGGCTTAGGTTTAGCACTGTTGGCAAAGCTTGCATTGGGTAGGAAAGGTGGGATGAGGTTCCACTGAGCTATGCAGAGGGATGTTCTGCTGCAGACAGCTTTGGGACCTGCTTGAAACTGGAGGAGACCTATGAAATGCTGCTGATTCTTTGGATAGTGATTTGTTTGCCCTTGTAGGTGCAGTGAGCCCAGCCACTGTGAGTGGTAGCTGAGGAGGAGCTCAGGCCAGGAGCTGAGCTACAAGGGTAACGATGGTCCTTCAGCAGCCTCTTTCCTGCACTGCTTTTCTCTCCACTGCAGCAGTGGTTGAGAGCTCCTACCACTAAGTCACTGAATGGCAGAATAGTTGTGGCTGGAAGGGACCTCTGGAGGTCATTTAGTCCAAACCCCCTGCTTAAGCAAGGTCAGCTAGAGTAGGTTGCCCAGGATCGTGTCCAGTTGGGTTTTAAATATCTCCAAGGAGGGAGACTCCACAACCTCTCCAGGCAACCTGTTCCACTGTTCAGCCCCTCACACAGTGAAGAAGTGTTTTCTTGTGTTCAAGCAAAATTTTCTGTGTTTCAGTTTGTGCCCATTTCTTCTCGTTCTGTCACTGGGCACCACTGAGGAGAGTCTGGCCTCGTCCCTTTACGCCCTCCCATCAGATATTTATAAACACTGATAGGATCCCCCTGAGCGTTCCCAGCTCTCTCAGCCTCTCCTCATATGAGAGATGCTCCAGTCCCTCCATCATCTTAGTGGTCATTCACTAGACTCGCTCCAGCAGGTTCATGTCTCTCTCTTGTTTTGGGTAGCCCAGAACTAGACCTACCACTCCAGATGGGTCTCACCAGGGCTGAGTAAAGGGGGAGGATTGTGCCCCTCCATCTGCTGGCAACCCTCTGCCTAATGCAGCCAGGATACCGCTGGCCTCCTTTGCCACGAGGGCACATTGCTGGTCAACTTGGTGTCCACCAGGAGTCCCAGCTCCCTCCCTGCAGAGCTGCTCTCCAGGGGCTCAGCCCCCAGCCTGTACTGGTGCTTGGGGTTGTTCCTCCCCAGGTCGAGGTCTTGGCACTTCCCTGCATTTTACTTAATGTTCCTCTCTGCCCATTTCTCCAGCTTCTCAAGGTCCCTCTGAATGGCAGCACCCTCTGGCGTATCAGCTGCTCCTCCCTGTTTTGTCTGCTGTCTGGGATCAGAAGATGATTTATTTTAGAAACCAGAGACAAGCCTTAGTTTTCCAAGAGCACTGATAACATTGAGGTGGGGAGAAGGGGCCGGGACTGAAAAGGACCTGTGTCCTGTCCTACCTTCTTGTTCAGTAGTAGTACGTTGATGGTTTTAGTCATTGAGCCTCCTTGTTCTAGCTGGTGACATGTAGTTATGTACAAGTTTAGGTTGTAGTCCATGGCCTGCCACAGCAGCCTGGTGCCAACCTTGACACTTACAGCGCTCTGCTCCCTGTGTTGCCTGGGTGTACTGTCAGGATGTGGCCTCCTGCCTCACCTGGTGTCTGGCCTTTGTTGAGCCCCACTCCTGCCGCTGCTGCGGTTCGCGTCTCTTCCCTGACCTGCCTGCTAACGAGTGGCCAGCGACGAATGCAGCAGTCCTGAGGCATTGAAGCGGGACGGGGGATTTGTTGGCCCTGACCCTGGGACCACACACTAGGATGCCTCAGCTCTGCGAGGGGGCTCAGCGTGAGGGAGGCTTTTAATCTCCCGCAAGCAAGTGCAGATCTGCTCCGTAGCAGAACGGAGCCTGGCTGGGCTGTGTGATGAGACACTGTTGAGGAATATGGGGGATTTACCCAGTGTTTTTGAGCTGACTCCTCCTAGGAACCTGAGACAAAGCCTGAAAATCAACAAGCCCTGCAGAAGATGCTGCTCTGATGTTGGCAGCAGCTGTAGGGAA